TATTTTATTTATAATATTTTATTTACATGCAACAGCAGCAGCAGCAACAGCAGCAGCAGCAGCAGCAGCAGCACTGACATGCACGAGAGACCACCGCAGCAGACCAGCAGCAACACCCAGAAAGAGAGAAATATAAACTAAATTAATTAATTTGATTAATTAAATAAATTAATTTATTTTATTTATTTATTTTATTTATTTATTTATTTATTTATCTCAATACAAACGAGAAAAGAAAAAACCACAAACGAAAGAAACACACAGTGGGGTGACCTCTCCCCAACCCCAAACCCTAAACCCTAAACCCTAAACCCTAAACCCTAAACCCTAAACCCTAAACCCTAAGCCCTAAACCCTAAACCCTAAACCCTAAACCCTAAACCCTAAACCCTAAGAAAGAAGAGATAAAGAAAATAGATAAAATAAGTTGTTTATATAAAAAAGAAATAAAAAAGAGAGAGAGGCGCCGGCAACGCCAAACAAATAAATTAATTAAAAAATACAAACGCCTCTTTTGCTGCTGCTGCTGCTGCTGCTGCTGCTGCTGCTGCTGCTGCTGCTGCAGTCAGCTGTTGTTGCTGCAGCTGCAGCTCTTGCTGCTGCTGCTGCCTTGGACAAATGCAGCAGCAGCATCACCTGTTGGTGCTGCTGCTGCTGCTGCAGCTGCAGCCACTGCTGCTGCTGCCGGTACTGCAGTTGCTGCTGCTGCTGTTGCTGCTGCTGCTGCTTCTGCTGCTGCTGCTGCAGCAGCAGCAGAAGCAGCAGCAGCAACAGCAGCAGCAAACAACATCTCTACTTCGTCCCTCTTCGGAATCAAACTGCTGCTGCTGCTGCACCTGAACCTGCTGCTGCTGCTGCTGCTGCTGCAACTACTGCAGCAGCAGCACCTGCCGCTGCTGCTGCCGCTGCTGCTGCTGCAGCAGCAGCAGCAGCAGCAGCAGCAGCAGCAGCAGCAGTTTGTCTTTCAGTCGTCAACGCCCTGAAACGAAACTTTTATTGAGTCGTCGGGATCGACCTCAGATAAAAATTGAACGTCTGCACACAAACCCTAAACCCTAAACCCTAAACCCTAAACCCTAAACCCTAAACCCTAAACCCTAAAC